CTATGACAGGGATGGCGGACAAGTAATGATAGGGATGGTGGACAAGTAATGACAGGGATGGTGGACAAGTAATGACAGGGATGGTGGACAAGCTATGACAGGGATGGCGGACAAGTAATGACAGGGATGGTGGACAAGTAATGACAGGGATGATGGACAAGCTATGACAGGGATGGCGGACAAGTAATGACAGGGATGGTGGACAAGTAATGACAGGGATGGTTGACAAGCAATGACAGGGATGGTGGGCAAGTAATGATAGGGATGGTGGACAAGTAATGACAGGGATGGTGGACAAGTAATGACAGGGATGGTGGACAAGCTATGACAGGGATGGCGGACAAGTAATGATAGGGATCGTGGACAAGTAATGACAGGGATGGTGGACAAGTAATGACAGGGATGGTGGACAAGCTATGACAGGGATGGCGGACAAGTAATGACAGGGATGGTGGACAAGTAATGACAGGGATGATGGACATGCTATGACAGGGATGGCGGACAAGTAATGACAGGGATGGTGGACAAGTAATGACAGGGATGGTGGACAAGCAATGACAGGGATGGTGGGCAAGTAATGACAGGGATGGTGGACAAGCAATGACAGGGATGGTGGACATGTAATGGGGGGAGGGGAGGGAGAGTTGCTGCAGATGTCTCACAATTTGAGGTGCCTCGCCGCGACCGATGAAGAGCTCTTGATCAAAGGCATCTAAGTTACCCTTGTTTTCGAACCGAACCTGATTACCTCGCGTTTCTCCAGGCGCCACACGAGTGCCACCGGGTTTAGCGCTCCCCATTAATATAATACTCATCACTGCCTTTGTGTGAGGGTAGATGAGAGAGTGGAGCTCCAGCTGCCGGACCCTGCCTCTTGGCTACTTATCCAGGTGGAAGTACACAGGTACACTTAACCGGTGTTTGGTCCAATGACTGAAGATATCGACTCCAGGCTTAGGGACTGATTACCTCATTCTACTCATCTTTCACCGTTCTTCTCTGTACTGGACTGAAGAAGCCACTGACTGGCCAAACGTTTCCTCAGTAAAGATTCCCAAATGCTGCACAAGTGTATCATTCTTCATGACTCAAGAAATCGTAATGACACGATTGCAAACAAACCATACCCCCGGCCGGGATTGAACCCGCGGTCATAGAGTTTTGAGACTCTATGACCGCGGGTTCAATCCCGGCCGGGGGTATGGTATCATTCTTCAATTTTTTTTTTACACCATTACATCACATATTTCTAATTACTTTGCAAAGTGTAATCACACAAGCGTGATTACCTGTGAGGGACTGCCTATGTGATTACCTGTGTGTTTGTGAATACAGAACGACAAGGCTGTTGGTGCTGTCTCTTCAGTGACATGCAACAACATGTATGGTTGTCAGTGATTATAACAGTGATGATCTTACAATCTCGTTCCTGTAGTGTAATGAACTCTTTTCTACTATTGTCTCTTCCTTCCTCCTGAAGGTTCTAAGAGGGTTTCTGTAGCTAAGGAAAATTTATATTTCTTTTTATGATGTAGTTATCATGTCTGTCTTTTCCCAGCAACCAAGAGAGGCATTTCCAGCGTCTTCAGTCTTCATAAAATTCTCAGTACTGGGAGCCGTTTTATAGCACCTCCTAGTACTACTACTGCTACTACTACCACAACTGCTACTACTACCACAACTGCTACTACTATTACTACTACCACCACCACCAACACTACTATTTCTGCTAAAAAAAATATCGCAGTAAAACTACACTATAATTTTTTGCACCAAAACTTAAAAATCTTACATAACCTTCCAAAAATTAACTAACTATAATTTACCTTAATCATAACAAACGTATCTAAAATTGACCTAAACTAGTTAGTATTATTAATCAATATATATATATATATATATATATATATATATATATATATATATATATATATATATATATATATATATATATATATACCACCACTAGAGCTGTCCTGGGGACCCTCATCCTCAGAGAAAAGAATAAACTTGCTTAAGGGAAAACTCAAGGTCGATCAATTAGGAAGAACTCATTTAAAATTAAGTCCTTTCTAAAATTTTCTCTTATACGTTTAAAGATATATATTTTTTAATTTATCTTAATGTAAAAATTAATAATTTTGTACCAAAGGAACTTAGAAACTTACCTAATCTTATTATAACAATCGTAATTTAATTTAGACTAATCCAACTAAATATATTTTAGACAACTTTACAATAATTTAATAATAAACAATGAAATTTATTTTTATCGTAAGGTTCAGAATGATTTTTGCAAAAAATATTGCATACATAAATTTTCGCTTGCCTTATTAAACAAAAAAAAGCGTTGCTATTTAAGGCAAAATGCAAGTTTTACCTATTCGGCACGACTATATATATATATATATATATATATATATATATATATATATTATATATATATATATATATAAAATATATATATATATATATATATATATATATGGGACGGGTGTTGCTGGGAACAAAGAGGGTGGTGGACACTTGCGCATGGCGATGGTCGTTTCCTATATATGGTGACCCATATCAGCTGCCGGGACTAGTTTTTCTCGGCTGCATATTAGCCGAAAAACACGGCATCGAACCCTGCAATCTACACCTCCAGCTGGACAAAAAATACATTGACTGAGAAATAATGAGCGGGTGTTGGTGGGACGATGATAACTCTTCCATCATTATACCATACTGAGAGAGGAGTAAGTTAGCCTGTGTAGCCAGAGAAGGTGCGGCTAATGTTTTGACGTCGCCGTGGTGTGTTTAGCAAGTATTTCTTCGTCACCGAAATATAATTGGTAGATTTGTCTTCACCACGGAACGTTGGTTAATGTGGTTGATGTTTTCTTGTCACTCAGAATGTTCAGGCACTGTCTCATCACCAAATAAAGTTAGTTAATGTTTGCTAATCACCACAGAACGTTGCTTAATGTTTCCTAGTGACCAAAGAATGCTTAGTTAATGGCTTCTTGGAGTCACAGTATAATGGGTAATAGTTTCTCGTCAATACATGACGTTGGATAAATATTTCGTTACTGTAATCAGAGAAGAATTCAAAATTGTTCCCTAAAATAAGCCATTCAGAACTTATTCCCCACAATAATACCTCTGATATTTTTTTGGGGTCACCATAAGTGTTGGAAAACACTTCTTAATAACTGCTGATGGTTTCATCCCTATACGACGGCTGATATTTATTCTATTTTTGATAATTATTCTATTTTTGTAACGATACGTACCATCGATCTCGGCCCGTGAGAGGGGTTTCCAATCTATGTTTTTTTTATTCTTTCCATCATATCTGTCTCCCTAATTCTTTTTCTTCTTAATCCTTCCCCGTGAACTCTCTCTTAATTAATCCTTCCCTCCCTCCTCAATTCCTCCCGGCTTCTCTCAGCCAGTGTGTGCCGGATGTCAGCACAAAACTCTAAGGGTTCTCCTATTCACTTTTAACTAACATTTAGGGTCCCACAGTGTATCTCTAATTGATTATACGGTTTAAAACATGCTAGAACCCAATAGTTACTCAGCAGGTTGAACACACATGGTTATGAACACGCCAGAACCCAATAGTTACTCAGCAGGTTGAACATACGTGGTTATGAACACACCAGAACCCAATAATTACTCAGCAGGTTGAACACACAAGGTTATGAACACACCAGAACCCAATAGTTACTCAGCAGGTTGAACACACATGGTTATGAACACACCGGAACCCAATAGTTACTCAGCAGGTTGAACACACATGGTTATGAACACACCAGAACCCAATAGTTACTCAGCAGGTTGAACACACATGGTTATGAACACACCAGAACCCAATAGTTACTCAGCAGGTTGAACACACATGGTTATGAACACACCAGAACCCAATAGTTACTCAGCAGGTTGAACACACATGGTTATGAACACACCAGAACCCAATAGTTACTCAGCAGGTTGAACACACATGGTTATGAACACACCAGAACCCAATAGTTACTCAGCAGGCTGTCACTGCAGAAATCGTCGCCACAAATACCGTCAAAAATCAATGGTCATCTCATTCCATAATTCAATCTGAATATTGTAGCCTAGTCAGAGGTCTTACTGGACACTGATCTACGGTGAAGTGCTGCTTCTCCGTTGTCTCTGTTGGACTGGGCAGTTACGGTAAAAATTCTGCGCAGCAGTTCACTCATTTAAAGTCCACTTAAACTTAGCCAGTGTTCCGCCTGGGTGTTAGTGGATAGACGACAGGTAGACAGTTTTGAAATTTGAAGAGCGCTTTGATAGTGCACGTTATACACCATTTTTGCAATAAAGCATGTACTAAGAAAAACAAGATAAAATTAATAAAAACTACTATCATGAATAAAACCACTATCAAGAAATTAACACGGTTAATTTAAGCAACATTAAACCCATCGAACTATTTATAATTACTATAGATGAGAAAGACCTGGGTCGTGGACTAGCTGTTAAACTGTTGCAAAGTCAGCTGCATGTGACTGTGGGTGGTATGTGTGCGCCTGATACTCAAGAGAGGATAGTCTGACAGTGACGCCTGTTGTTGAAAACCCGCGTTGTGCTGTTTGTTTCCTTCTTGTCTGTACAAGTCACCAGGCCTACCGCTTCCCAGGGACATCTCTGTGTATGTGGCCCGTGAAGTCAGTAAGACAGAAGTCTACTATAAGGAGAGCTCGTTATAGCAACTTTGTATTGGTTTCTGCCCGTTCATTTCCCGGGACACCAATATAACGCCACATCCTTGTCCCGCATGTGGAGACGAGTTAACCACTCTAGGATCTTCTGGACCACAGGGCGAACAGAAACATACTAGTGGACCAGGACAGAACACGTTGGGAATCTACAGTTAACCGAAATCCAACTAACCCAGCAATCAGACTGAGGAGTGGTATGCAGTGGATGTTAGTGGGTAGTAGGGCAGAAGGGAAGCTAGTGAAGTGATTCAGACTTACCTCTTGAGGAAGTTGGTGTACTCTGCCTGGCGTATGAGTCCCGTCCTCATCATGATGGTCTGGAAGCACTTGCGGTCGATGGCATAAAGCTTGCATCCCGTGGCGGCTGCAGTGTACGAGACACGGGGTTACACCAGGGTATTGTCTTACTGCTACTAGTGGTGGTACCAAGGGCACTAATAACATGTATGGAATACTGCGCTAAAAATTATGCAAACATATTAAATGTGCTGAAATTTTATATAATTTTAGAGTTACAATTATACAGAAATAATAGATCTGAGTATTTAGAAAAGAAATTTTAAAGATATTTTAACATGTACTACATGAATAATATATATGTACTGCATAGATATAAATAAGTCAATCCATAATCATATAATAAAAACTTTCACAATACGTACGCAGGCTTGGGTGTCAACTCACCAAGCCACCTACCCCAAAACCCAGCTCTGTAGGTGGTTGTGCTAATTGCACAAGACAACAGGTATGCGCCCCAGTATCCTACCTGCCCTAAGGGCAACCACTCTACGTCTCTCTAGTTTAATAAGGTACAAACATGATTACTTTACCTATCGACATATTGCCTGCTGCCAACACATGAAAGCCTCATTGTTTATGTTATTGAGCTCACGCAGTGTAGCCAACATCCATCCAGAGACAGATACCATATTGAAAATATACCTTAGCTACAGGACTACGAAGATCTTCGATATGATTGCTGGTTAAACATCACTGGTTGCTACGTGAGAGGCAGGGTTACAGCGAGATGCTGATATGTATTCTAGTAAAGCTATACATACCTAGCTAAGTAGTGCCATTCTTTATCACCAAGAAATATTATCCAAGCTACATGTGAATCACAAGATTACTATACGAGCATATGTGCAGATTTTATTGGTAGAATGCAGACCTATTTGAAATCTCAAGAGACTTCTGTCTAGTATCTATATTAATGTCCAGACAAATAAGTCTGCCGGGAGGAGAACTCTTGTGCAGTTATTTCTCAGTGGGAAGAGGACAAAAAAAATCTGGTATCAGGTGAAATGGCTTTGAAATTCGAATACTTTAAATCAAAGCTCGACAGAGATACTGACAGAGCAATGTCACAGGAATGAACTGTCTCAACTACTATTTAAGAAAAAGCTGACTTACTTGGGACCCAATGTGCGTCTAAGACAAAAGTCCCAACTCCATAAAGACCCTCCATGGTTAGTTGCAATAACCAACAATTTGTAAGTTGATTCGAGAAGATTTTTAAACCTCAAATAATTAGAAAAAATACTGTGATGGGACAAGATCAGTACAAGACTACTACTAACATGGTTGTACTGACAGGAAAGCATTGCTTCTCACTGATCTCTATCAACTGTAAATATCACAGAATAAAAAGGGTAGTCTTCGTGTTAGGAACGTAATATATACCAGTCCGCGAAGACACTGTGAGTGAAGGGGCTGGACAGCAGTTACACACCAGTATCACTGCTGCACTTTAATAATTAATATGGATATAATTCAAATTAATATAGATTAAGAAACGATGGCTATGATGAAGTTTTCTTATTCGAAGAGCACCTTGACCTAGAAGCATCTGGAATCTCAGGATTCATTCTATACTTTACATGGTCGATCTCCGTGTAATTTTTGAGGCTGTTGTGTCTGAATGTCACTCTACCAATAATTACAGGATGGTTGCACTCTAACCTTTCTGGATACAAAAATGAAGACATGCCTATCAATTACCAATATGTGGTTATATCTACCTGAGGCAAGTCATAGAGGGCTACATTTGCAGCCAATAAAACAAGAGATCTGAATACACCAAGACTTGTGAAAATTAGAGATAAAACTCAACGATGAAGTGAATACCTGAGAGAGACTGACTACAATGACTGTAAGAATCACGTATAAAAATCTTGTTTTCAATGCAATCAAGAAATTCCTGAGTTGAAATGCATCTCGTACTTGATCGATAACAATCGCTGCAAATCTCCGGGTCACAATTTTGATCCCATCTTTAGTATCCATTCCTCTTTGATGTACAATCTACCTGGGTCTGAAGGACCTTTACTATCTCAAGGTATGGAAGATCCATGAAAGGTGACTTTTCGAGTCTTGAGTCGTTCCATTTAAACCTATAATTCAAACAGAACCTTGAAAAGAATAGTTCATATCTGTAGATTTACAGTGCAAAAGCTGAACACAGAAAACAGCAACGTGATGAATAACAAAAAAAAAAAATAGATAATAAAACAATGAACACCAGACTGGAAGGAAGGAGCTGGAGAAAGTGAGCATATTTATATATCCGGGAGTGGATATGTTAGCAGAGGGAGTCTATGAAAGACGAAGTGAACTACAGAAGCGACGAAGGGAGAATTGTGGGTGAGTGTTGAGGAAACTGTGGGGAGAAATAAGTTTCAATGAAAGCAAAAACCCCTCAAAGGAGGTTCCTTGACGCTGGTGAGGGGCTCTTGATATAGGGAATTGGATCTGTGCTCTGCTCCCTGAATTAAGCCTGACTACCTTCCATCCCCCCCCCCACATGCGATGTATAATCCTACAGGCTTAGCGCTCCCCCCACGATTATAATAACATGAAAGTTAAAATGCGTAAAGCACCAGAGTATAACTGTAGCAATGTTTATGTGGGTGTGAGACATGAGGTTTTAAGCGTTGCAACAAGTATGTGGGGGGGGGGGGGCAACGGAGGTATGTTTAAGAGTAATGTGTGGTGTGAATATTATGCAAATAATTCGGACGGAATGTAGATATTAGAAGACTTTTGTGAGGTTATGAGAGGTATTTAGTGAGGATAGAGCAGAATAAAATGCCAAGAGGGCGTATAAATCTGAGGTTTCCACCCCCAGGTATGGTTCACCCCTGGAAAGGTTGGACGTAAACAAGTAGTTTTCAAATCTGAAGAACACTGGGAACGAGCTGAGGGAGGTTGTGAAGGAGGTTTTAAGTGGTACGGGCTTAAACATCCAGCAGGCGTGCGTGAGCGTGTTAAATCTTACTTAGTGGAGACAAGTGGAATTTTAGAATTTGAATCCTGTTGGAATGTGAGCAAGGTAACATTTATGAAAAGATTCAGTGAAACTAATTAGCCAGACTCGAGTCCTGGAGGTGGTAAGTACAGTAATTACACTTTGGAGGGGTGGGAATGTTGCAGTACGGAGGGTCCTTTAAATTGTAATGCCTGCACACTTCTAAAAAGAGAGCTACTGAATGAATGGCAGTGAATGTTACATTTATCAGGTCACCCTACCCTGGTAAAAGACAGTGGATGATTTAAACACTAAAGTTTTGCACAAAGCCACCCACCTGATGCAACATGTGAGCATTATCAGCAGTAAAACATTGGTACTACCCTTCAGACATCACTTCATCAGAAATCATTCCTTCCTCGACTGACCTTGTGTGGAATACTCAATAAAAAGATATCCAGGCAATCATTCCAACTGATCAAATGAAAGCCCTGGCTTACATTTGGGTCGAACCTCCCTATACCCTATATGGATGTTATCTATAAAAGCTAAAATTCCAGAGGCCTTTGTTTTAAAATTAACAAAATGAACAAAGGCAGGATAACTACTCATATGCTGCTAAGTACCTCTACGTATTACCATTCTTGATATTTAGAACCTAGAGGAGAGAAGAGAGACCAAGAGACGTGTAAGAGGATCTTACCTTTGATGGTGGCCGTTCTCTTGCAGTTGTAGAGGATAGCCAGCTCGCCGAATACCTTGCCAGGTGACATGTGACATAGTAGCTTGCCCTCCTTGCTCACCTCCACTTTACCCTCTGTAAGGTAAAACACGCAAGTGTTAATATTTCGCAAAAAAAAAAACATTACTATTGTGTTTCACAAAAATGACACATGGCATATAAAAACGAAAATAAGCCCAAGTGTTAATGTGAAAATATGTAAGTACTTTTAGACCTAGGTTTAAACCTCCTAGGTTATTGCTATCTATACAGAAACATTTCTCCGCGATGTGATACCATGTCAACTCCTCCCACAGCCGTGATAACACAACGTTAAAAACAAACTTCACACTAGTAGCCAGTAGCCTATATGATTCCCACTTATTTCAGGTAGATTATGCACGGGCATTAACTATCCATCCCCAACACTACACCAACACTACTAGAATGCTTCTAAAATCATTTTTATAATTTTAATTTTTGAAATTATACATTCTCAAGTGGTTTTTCATAAGTAAACATAGATTAAGACGTTCTAAAAGAACGGTTCACAATGCATGTGGCAAACTTCAGACATACACAAACTGCTGCTTCGGGTTCATCCTCAACCGCCAAATTACGATTTGTTCTCCCTCGCTCCATACACTGGCCTGTTTTATTACTCTGCTTATTGCTGGCAAAAACAGGCTGACCTATGAGGTCATTAACCAGTACGGTCTGACCTGCATCAAGGCCACGGGGAAGACCATCCACCAAACCGTCAAAAGGGAATAAATCGGACGCTATTTGTAAGAGGTTTACTGCTGCAAGTTAACGTTCAATAGCAAATAACCACAAAAAGAACAAATGGCTCTACGTTGTGGGTTTCACCCACATACTGCTGCCTCCCATTCACTCTTTAATGCCTAAGCATCAAGGAAAGTACTTGCTTTTAAGTTACCTTCGCCTTACGTGAAACTATTTTTGAGTGCCCATGTAGGTATATGCCCACTGGCGGTGGTTAAAAATACTGATCCTGGAAAAAATATGGTACACTCAGGATGGTGAAGGTGATGGTGGAGTGGTGGTGGTGGTTGGGCAGCCCACGATATCTTATTAATATATGATAGAGTGAAGCAAACTAGAAAGGAAAGTACACACATGCCTCGATCACAAAGTCTCTCTCTCGCTCTCTCTCTCTCTCACACACACACACACACACACACACACACACACACACACACACACACACACACACACACACACACACACACACACACGCACACACACACACAAGCACACAAAGGATAACACTCTCTGAACGTTAATAGTTAAATTGACTTTAAAAACTGAAGCGATCATTTTGTCGAATTGTTATCTAAACAGTTTCAACTTAATCAGTCGTGGACAGCAAGGTGAAGCTGCTTGTTGTTAGCGCATTCGTCATGGTAAAATCACCCGACACCCATGAGAGAAGTGTGGCAAAATGGTTATCTAAAGACTTTGTAATTTTGGGATAGCCTCGTGGCGGTGTACAGCAGAACGACAGCTAACTTGCCACGACTCGGTGGTCTGTGAGTGTGGTTTTGCACAATGCTCGCCAATGGTTAGTAAAGGGGTCGAGGTGTGTCAAGTCGGGTACCTCATGACCTCAAAGAGACCCGAAACTTGATAAGACACAAAAACCCGTCATTCTGATGTCAGAAGTGGGAGTGTGAGACTACCTATTTATAGCTACGACAGACGTGTGTTATGTGGTACTTTATAACAAGAAGACTCAAACAAGACCAATTTTTTCAAGGTATTTCCGTACTTGTGTGTATATGGATTGATAGATATTTGCCAGATATATCATGGCAAGCAAATTTTAATTTTTTGCACCAAACATAATATAGCAACCTAGATTAACTGAAATTTATGCAACCTATCCAAACCTTTTGTAACCTTAATTTAAGGTCATCATAAATTTTGTCAGTATTAAACGTAAATGAAATGTTTAGACTGATTTCCGCAGTCCTAGAGAAAAAAAAATCGATGGTTTCTTTGGGGAAACTAATATTGCTTTACAAGCCAAGTACGCCTTTTTTCACTTAAAAATGGTGTGTGTGCTCACTCATATGGGGTTGCAGGGGTCGATTCACAGCTCCAGCATGTGTGTGTGTGTTTAACATCACAAATTAAAAAAATACTTGGTATTAATTACCGATTTTGACCAAATATTTTTTGGGAGTTCGAACATTGTATAAACTACGCGGCTGATATACCTCGATACACAACAACTAGATCGATCTCTAATTTTTATCCGTCCATCTTAGCTTTCTCCCTCCCAATCTCTTCCCCAATCCCTCTCCTCCCAATCCCTGCTCCCCTAGCAGCTGCCCAGGTTTCAGTCACCATTGCCAAACAATAACCAGCAAGTGACTCCTCCACAAGTTACGAAATCAATTGTGTGATTAATGGACTCGCTGGCCTACATACACACCCTGTATCCTGTGTCCGTCGAGTTAACTAATCCAACCCTGTAATTATAAATGTGTGTATGAGTTTTGAGAGAGACTGGCGGTCCAGTGGGCTTTCAGGACTAACTTCTTTTGTGATCTTAATACTCACAGCTTTTAAAAATACATTTTAACAATTGTAACGTATCGTTTAACTATAATTTACAGCAATGGAGTAATTTAAATTAGCTCTGGATGAAACGAAGCTTCGCTATGTAACTGCAAGTGCTGTTTGGTGTGTATGTGACTGTGAGGAGAGAGGTCTTTGTTTGATGTATGTCACTAATGTAACCAGTGTTTGATGTGTTGCTAGTGTAACCAGTGTTTGATGTGTTGCTAGTGTAACCAGTGTTTGATGTGTTGCTAGTGTAACCAGTGTTTGATGTGTGTTACTAATGTAACCAGTGTTTGATGTGTGTTACTAATGTAACCAGTGTTTGATGTGTTATTAGTGTAACCAGTGTTTGATGTGTTATTAGTGTAACCAGTGTTTGATGTGTGTTACTAGTGTAACCAGTGTTTGATGTCTGTTACTAGTGTAACTAGTGCTTGATGTGTTACTAGTGTAACCAGTGTCTGATGTGTGTTACTAGTGTAACCAGTGTTTGATGTGTGTTACTAGTGTAACCAGTGTTTGATGTGTGTTACTAGTGTAACCAGTGATTGATGTGTTACTAGTGTAACCAGTGTTTGATGTGTGTTACTAGTGTAACCAGCGTTTGATGTGTTACTAGTGTAACCAGTGTTTGATGTGTTACTAGTGTAACCAGTGTTTGATGTGTGTTACTAATGTAACCAGTGTTTGATGTGTGTTACTAGTGGAACCAGTATTTGATGTGTGTTACTAATGCAACCAGTGTTTGATGTGTGTTACTAGTGTAACCAGTGTTTGATGTGTGTTACTAGAGTAACCAGTGTTTGATGTGTGTTACTAGTGAAACCAGTGTTTGATGTGTGTTACTACTGTAACCAGTGTTTGATGTGTGTTACTAGTGTAACCAGTGATTGATGTGTGTTACTAGTGTAACCAGTGTGTGATGTGTGTTACTAGTGTAACCAGTGTTTGATGTGTTACTAGTGTAACCAGTGTTTGATGTGTTACTAGTGTAACCAGTGTTTGATGTGTGTTACTAATGTAACCAGTTTTTTGATGTGTGTTACTAGTGAAACCCAGTATTTGATGTGTGTTATAATGTAACCAGTGTTTTGATGTGGGTTACTAGTTGTAACAGTGTTTGATGTGTGTTACTAGTGTAACCAGTGTTTGATGTGTGTTACTAGTGTAACCAGTGTTTGATGTGTTTTACTAGTGTAACCAGTGTTTGATGTGTTACTAGTGTAACCAGTGTTTGATGTGTGTTACTAGTGTAACCAGTGTTGGATGTGTGTTACTAGTGTAACCAATGTTTGATGTGTTTTACTAGTGTAACCAGTGTTTGATGTGTTACTAGTGTAACCAGTGTTTGATGTGTTACTAGTGTAACCAGTGTTTGATGTGTTACTAGTGTAACCAGTGTTTGATGTGTGTTACTAGTGTAACCAGTGTTTGATGTGTGTTACTAGTGTAACCAGTGTTTGATGTGTGTTACTAGTGTAACCAGTGTTGGATGTGTGTTACTAGTGTAACCAGTGTTTGATGTGTTTTACTAGTGTAACCAGTGTTTGATGTGTGTTACTAGTGTAACCAGTGTTTGATGTGTGTTACTAGTGTAACCAGTGTTTGATGCGTTACAAATGTAACCAGTTTTTGATGTGTTACTAGTGTAACCAATGTTTGATGTGTGTTACTAGCGTAACCAGTGTTTGATGTGTTACTAGTGTAACCAGTGTTTGATGTGTGTTATTAGTGTAACCAGTGTTTGATGTGTGTTACTAGTGTAACCAGTGTTTGATGTGTGTTACTAGTGTAACCTGTGTTTGATGTGTGTTACTAATGAAAACAGTGTTTTATGTGTGTTACTAGTGTAACCAGTGTTTGATGCGTGTTACTAGTGTAACAAGTGTTTGATGTGTTACTAGTGTAACCAGTGTTTGATGTGTGTTACTAGTGTAATCAGTGTTTGATGTGTGTTACTAGTGTAACCAGGGTTTGATGTGTGTTACTAATGTACCCAGTGTTTGATGTGTGTTACTAGTGTAACCAGTGTTTGATGTGTGTTACTAGTGTAACCAGTGTTTGATGTGTGTTACTAGTGTAACCAGTGTTTGATGTGTGTTACTAGTGTAACCAGTGTTTGGGATGTGTTACTAGTGTAAACAGTTTGATGGTGTTACTAATGTAACCAGTGTTTTGATGTGTGTTACTAGTGTAACCAGTGTTTGATGCGTGTTACTAGTGTAACCAGTGCTTGATGTGTGTTACTAGTGTAATCAGTGTTTGATGTGTGTTACTAGTGTAACCAGGGTTTGATGTGTGTTACTAATGTAACCAGTGTTTGATGTGTGTTACTAATGTAACCAGTGTTTGATGTGTTACTAGTGTAACCTGTGTTTGATGTGTGTTACTAGTGTAACCAATGTTTGATGTGTGTTACTAATGTAACCAGTGTTTGATGTGTGTTACTAGTGTAACCAGTGTTTGGTGTGTTACTAGTGTAACCTGTGTTTGATGTGTGTTAC